ACGACTACTACTACTACTACTACTACTACCACTACCACTACCACTACTACTACTACTACTACTACTACTACTACTACTACCACTACTGATGCTACTACTACCTCTTACTACTACTACTACTACTACTACTACTACTACTACTACTACTACTACTACTACTACTACTACTACTATTGCAACAACAGCAACAAAAGCAACAACAACAACAACTACTACTACTACTACTACCACTACTACGACTATTACGACTACTACGACCACTCGTACTACTACTACTCCTGCTACTACTACTACTACTACTACTACTACTACTCCTACCTACCTACCTACCTACCAACCTGCCTACCTACCTACCTACCTACCTACCGAACTACTTACTACTACATTAACTACCACTACCACTACCACTACTACTACTACTACTACTACTACTACTACTAGTACTACTAGTACTACTACTACTACTACTACTACTACTACTACTACTACTACTACTACTTTCTTAACTACCACTACTATTACTCCTACAATTACAACAATAAAATAGTAGTACTACTACTAACTAAACTACTACACTAACTACTACTACACTACATGCTACTTCACTTACTACTACGACTACGACATACGTACTACGACTACGACTAATACTACTACTACTAATTACTACTACTACTTACTTACTACTATACTGAGTACTAGGTTACTCTAATACTACAACTACGACTACGACTACGACTTACGACTACTACTAATACCACCGCTACTACTACTACTACTACTACGACTACTATGTACTAATATTACTACTACTACTACTACTACTACTACCACCACTACCACTACTACTACTACTACTACTACTGCTACTGCTACTACTACTACTACTACTACCACTACTACTACTACTACTACTACTACTACTACTACTACTACTCCTACTACTACTACTACTACTACTACTACGACTACTACTACTACCAGCCCCGCGACTCAAACGAATGACCCATGGGGGCCAATTCGGAAAGAAGGAACTTCTGGGGCGCGCCCAAGAACTCAGGGGTCCGGTTTCCGCAGAAAGAATAAACAAATCCCTGGCGAGGGTTTTCGAACACGGGGGTTACCCCCGCCTCAAATTCGGGAAAAGGAATGATTTCTCAGCCGCGAGGGTGCCCGCGTGAGGGCCCCCGCCCTCCCACCCCCGCGCAACCTGAGGAGGAAAAGCGTGAGAGCCCAGATTGTAATTGCAATGCAACAACACTCTAATAGTGGTTGCACGAGGGAGTTGTGCTGGTAATAGGGAGTTGCACCACTGAGTCCTACTGGAAGTTGTACTAGGGAGTTGGACTCGTACTAGGGAGTTGCAGAGGGAGTTGCACTACTGGACTTGCAGTGGGGAGTTGCGCTGGGGAGTTGTACTAAGGAGATGCACTAGGGAGTTGCACTAATAGTAGGGGGTTGCAAAAGGGAGTTGCATTAGGGAGTTGTACTAGTACCGCTGGTTCCAGGGAGCTGTACTAGGGTACTAGGGAATTGTACTAGGGATTTGCACTACGGAGTTGGGCCGGGGAGTTGCGCTGGCACGGCAATGCCTGCACGGCACTCTGATACTTGCACGGTAGGACAATGTGCTCTCTAGGAGCAACTGCGCGCTTGTGCAATTCTTGTTTTTTTTTTGTTCCAAGCCAGTCCGTTTGGCTTCTCGGTGCAGCATCGTCGCCAGTCCGACCGGGACTTGCAGGCTCCGCGCGGCATTCGAATTCGGCGCCTACGTCGCGGCGCAGCTGCGGCGCCTTGCGCGGCGCGCACGGGCGCCGACCGCAGGCCCAGGTGCATCGTCTCCCTGCTGGCGCCACCTTTTGCTGCGTGACGCTGCGTGGCCTCGTGCGCGGCTTGGAGACTGCGCGCGAACGCTCTTGCCCTGCGACTGCGGGAGCTGCGCCAGGCCGCTCTTGTCGAGCGCGGCCTCGGCGTCGGCCGCCCCCTTCGCCTTCTTGGCAAGCAGCTGGCGAGCGAGGGTCTGGGCGACGGCGGGCGGGGCCGCCCACCCCGCAGGCATCGAGCCGCGACGAAGGTAGGTCAGGTCGATCTCGGCGATCGCGCTCTCCATCGATCTCTTCGCAATGGTTGCGCGAATCTCGGCCCGCTGGCCGATCGCATGCTCGCGCGCCGCTACCATTCCAGGGTGGTCCCGCGCTAGCCTCAAGAGGGATGCCATTT